TGTATGAACTTTCTTTTATATATGAAATTTGTGTTTTGTTTTATCTTTCTCATGAAGTCTGAGAAGTTTCCTTTATCTTTCTCCCTACTCTAAGACATGGTGAAATGAAGAGATAGTTTAAATGTGCCAATGTTAAAATATAAAATAAATTATGATAGTTTTTCAACTCTCTTCTTAATTTACTTTTCGATCTAGCCAATTGAATTGTTAAAATATGTGAAACATATGATCCGGGAAATGGAGTATGAGTTCTACAATAGAGTGAGAATCACATTTAATTCCATGAAGGAGTACTTCGTTCAAGGAACTAATTGCAAATAAATAAGAAAATATACATTGTTGTGTGTTGAATTAGTGATTTTAGGGTGATAGACATACAAAATTAGTGTTCAAGAACTAAAGAGAGAGTTAGCTTTTAGGGAAAGGGAAGTGGGAGCTCTGGAGTGAGAGCCAGTATCCTTCTAGCCTAGCCACGAATTTAAGGACTAAACCTGAGATTAACCAATGATTTTCTATAAAACTGAATCAGTGCAGAGAATTAAAATTGCTTCTATTTGACACAATACATAGTTAAACCATTTATGTATTCTCATTTCACTAAAAAATCATTGTAGTGGGAAAGATGTTTTTTCATATTAGAAAACTTGATCACAAAAATATAGTTTAGTAGTTATTGTTTTAAACTTTGCATTTAAATTTTGCTAGTAGTTGGTAACTTAGTCCTGATAGTATCTCAAACATACAAAATTAGTGACAGTAATTTTATTTTATTTTTGTGAATTTCCTAGTTAATTAATCATTTCAAATTTAAACTTTCCTTGTGGGATCGATATTTGAGACTTAAATAAAATGTCTTGTATTACTTGATAACGATACATATACTTGCGTAGAATCCCAACATTACGTGCTTAACGTTATTATTCATAAAATACCACATCATGTTTTAGGCGTCATAGCCAAGCGGAGTCAACTTTATAAATTTTACACAACTATATTTTCGGGGATCATTACTCAGTGATATTAAATTGCATAGAAGTGGTTAAAACAAATCTATTTAAAATTTTTGACTTATACGTTATTATTTGTTAGAGTGTTACAAGATGATGTTAAACTTTGTGGATGAGTTAGTAAATCCATCATGAATGTTTTATATATCCAAGGCTAGTAGTCAGAGAGTTGCTTGATGATGTAAATTTATATGGATGAGATCGAGTGCAATCCATCAATGATTTTTTATATGTTCTAGGTTGCTGTTTAGTGTGGTTAAACCTATATAGATAAGATTAAGTGTATTTCACTAAGGATTTTTCACATATTCTAGGATGTTAATCAGGGTATTTACTTGATGACATTAACCTATGTGGAAGTGGTTGAACCAATCCCCATGAGATTAATTAAACTTGTAGTAAGGTGCCAAAAATGTTATTTTTTTCTTATGTTTAGGGATAAATGTGGATATGGATATTTTTTTTCTTGAAACATGACTGCAATCGTACTCAAGAAAAGGATTTAGCGAATACCATTTTGTTAATCATGGTTTTATTTCCTCTAGTGGATTTTTACCCACACAAGCCTAAATAATTTATGTAAATTGGCCAACACATTCTTCTAAAATTAGCCTTTTGAATTTTTTCTTAAATTGACGACATAACTTTGTGGTATGATAATGAATTTTATGGAAGTGGCATTATCCATAAGGCCAGTTTACTAATTAGGTTGAAAGGAGGCAAAACAAGTATTATTGAGTTGGACGTTTCCAATTAGTGATTAATGTTATGGTAGGAAAGCATTTTTAATTGACACTAGGTTCAGTTATTAAGCTTCATATAAGAGTTGAAGATCTCATATTTTATAGGTACATGATCTTTCAAGGGCAATTAAGGGGGACTTTTGTTAGTATGGTTATATATATCTAGGGAAACTACAATATAGACATGTCATCCATGGCTTTAGTGTCATCCTTTAAAATGGTGAGTGGAGTTAGAGGCCCCATAGTTGGATACTTTATATTAAGAAAACAAATAAAGGGCTAGATTATATTTCCCATAAAAGGCGTCAAACTATTACATACAATAAAATTCTCAACAGTGGATAAATCTTTTCTCTTCGGTCAATACAAATTTTTCAGCACTCACAGATAGAGATTTAAGAGACAACATTATTTTCTTTTATGTGAAACCAAACTTACAAGGACAAAAAAGCTGTAAGTTCTAGTATAGTAAAAGTAATCCAATAGAAAATTTAAAAATATAAAGATTTACTTTAGTTGAATTAGGGAAAATTATATTAAAAAAATTGATAAAATTTAATAACAAAAAATTTAATTACAACAACATAGCTGAACTTTATAAAATTGTAATTGGTAGCTGTAATAAGGGCAGATAGCTACAAACTCCATAGTTGGTGACCATAGTGGTTGAAGTTAGCTATAGAAGCTATAATTAGTCGTTATAATAGTCGTAGTTCGTTGCAATAAAATTTAATAACAAAAAATTTAATTCCAACAACATAGTTGAACTTTATAAAATTGTAATTGGTAGCTGTAATAAGGGCAGATAGCTACAAACTCCATAGTTGGTGACCATAGTGGTTGAAGTTAGCTATAGAAGCTATAATTAGTCGTTATAATAGTCATAGTTCGTTGCAATAATTAATATTGGTGACTGTTGGTGACCAATGATGGTTGTAACAAATTTTGATGGTCAACAATAAACTCCAATGACTAGCAACAATCGTTGGAACTTCAAGTACTAAATTTTAGTAGCTCGCTTACCGTCCTCTCTTCTCCTCTCCCATAAGTGAAGAATAGGGGCATATTCAAAATTTTTTAGAGATGCATTTTGGAAAATATATTCAGCAGTCAAAATGTTTATGAGATGATTCACTTTAAATTCCTCAATGATTAGTAATTTTTCAAAATTTAAATGTCTTAAAAGCATCACAATTAGATGATTTCAGGCTCATTTGATTCCTCTCGATGAGTTATTCGAGTTGAATTTAAACATGCAAAATTTTTAGTTAGTTATCTTTCTAATTAATGCACCAAAGCATTTAATTATAATTTAAATTTTTCAGAGATACATTTTTGAAAATTTATTCAGGAGTCAAAATGCTCTATGGGATGATTCACATTAAATTCCTCGATCATTAGTAATTTTTCAAAATTTAAATGTCTTAATAACATCAAAATTAGATGATTTCAGGCTCATTTGATTCCTCTCGATGAGTTATTTGAGTTGACTTTAAAAATGCAAAATTTTTAGATTGGTTATCTTTCCAATTAATGCACCAAAGCATTCAATTATAATTCAAGTTTTTGAAATTGGTATATTTGAACTTGGATTGGATAACTTTCAGTGTGATTGAGTTCATCTTTAATTTTGAGATGCTAGTCATGACTATAAAATTTTTGAAATCATACCTCAAAAAATCTTGAAATTAAATCTGGAATATTTCTTGCTGAAAATCCAGAAATTCTTGCCAGATGATGAAATTTTTTTGATGGAACATCTACCCTAAACCAAAAAAAAAAATTTGTTCATGCCGAATTGAAACAAAGAATCTATAGAACTCATATTTTTTTTTATATATAAAACACATTGCAAAAGAAAGAAATGAAAAATATAGTCATGTGCTAATTTATGCTCAATTTTGCCTTTCGATTTCTCTTCTTACAACTAAAAACAGCTTCAAAAAGAACGAAATTTATTTTAGAGCATCCTAGAGCTCTTTCCAAGTGCCTTAGCTTTTTTACGCTATATTGTTGTTGATAAGGTGTTGTACCAAGACACTATGGGCTAGTACCAAAGTATTATCTTTCCTCTTTAAATTGTTGGATTGGAGTGTTTCATTACAAACATAAGTGATAATCAGTGTCAACTTTCATGGCACCGAATAATATGTTGCAATGCTTTTGTGAAAATTGGAAATGCTCCTGTATTTCCTTAAGTTTAATTCATTAGTCATTGATTCCATGATTGCTCATTTTTTTCCATTATTTTTTCCTACTTCACCTATTTCATAAGGTTTATAAATTTTTAACAGAATCAATTTATTTTTATTTCAAAATAAGTTAAATTTATGTGATATTTCAATAATAAAACTCATTGATCAGAGAATAGCTAGATGTATGAATGAGAACATACCACAAATTTAGATGTGAGGAGGAACATATAAGATTGTGACTATTGCAAGGGGTAAGGAGCACCGTTGAGGAGAGAGACCTTAATAATGAGAGAGAAGTTCCGAATTTGTGACCATCGAGAGTAAGGGAGATGTGGAGAGGAAAACTAAGAATTGAGTTATGCAATGGGATGTAGGGGGTGAGGAGGACCATATGGTGATTCGTTAAGATAAATACCAACATCACACAGAGGTTCAGGAAAGACTCATGGGATAAAAATTAAGAAGTTTTATTATTAAACTTATTAAATTTTATTTTTATTAAAAGTAAATGTTACACATTAAAAATAATTAATGATGGTCTGACCATTGCATAAAGTAGTTACATTTCAATAAATTTGATTCTTCATTGGTCTCATTGTTTATTCCTTGCAAATTTAAGGGAAAATAGGTTTGACATCATATCAAAATGGATGGAGGACCGAATAATTTAGAGTTGGACCTGTTGAATGAGCTGGCCTGATCCATCTTTCTGACCTAATGGGTTTAAGAGTTAGAGCAAGGGAAAAAAATAGTGAAAGGCATGGGAAAAACCATGCTATTAGAAAGAGAAATAATGCCTTGGAAAATATATCATTGAGAAATTTAAGAAATATTCAAATTTGGAGAAGCAATCTTAATCTTAGAAAAAAAAATGTAAGAAATAGAGAAGGAACTAAATGGATAATCATTGACTAAATCAACTCCTAACCGAAGATAACTACAAATTCAAATCAAATGCTAAATTTAGACAAGTACAAACACCAATTTTAAACCCAAAGGCAACTTTTACAATGGTAAAAATCACCGGATTTTAATTGAAAAGAAGCTAACGTCCCATTCCGACAAAAGGTGGAGAAAGCTCTCATAAAAAAGGGTGGACGAACCATATCTTTCCCCGACTAAATTCGTATCAGCTCCGATCCGCATCTTAAATGTGCTTGAATCTTTTCTACTACGTGAGATCTATATAAATAAAGAAAACCATGTTAGGATTCCTGAAGGGTAGAGAACGAGAGCGGAAAGGCTTCGCGAGGATGAGAACGAGTCCCGGCGAGGTGGTGCTGCTAAGGGGGATGTGGGCGAGCCCGGCAGTGCATAGGGTAGCGTGGGCGCTGAGGCTAAAGGGAATAGAGTACGAATATGTGGAAGAGGATTTGGAGGAGAAGAGCAAATCGCTTTTGGAATTGAACCCTATCACCAAGAAGGTGCCGGTTCTCGTTCATGAGGGCAAGCCGGTAGTTGAATCGCTCGTCATTCTTGAGTACATTGATGAGGTCTGGACTTATGGCGCTCCATTATTGCCGAAGAACGCCTATGAGCGCTCCCGAGCGCGCTTTTTGGCAACTTTTTTGGAGGATAAGTTACGCAGCTTTGTTTTTTCTTTCTTTCTGTTTTTGTTTTACCTTTTTTTTTTCCTTAAATTTGGAGCTTTCACAAGCATATCAAATAATTTATATCTTTATTTAAATTTAACATTTATTAATATAACATTAAAATCCATGCTACCACTTTAAAACATGGGAAACTTTAATTTATAGGGGGAATTTACATGCATAATACATAAAACCTATATATTTGCATATCAAACATCTAAATCATGATATTTACGTATATAACATTTTATTTCCAAATCACATAAAAAGAGCATAAAGCAAGTTTCCTTGGAAAAAGCAAAAAAGCTATCGACATTCTTAGGTTATTGAAGATTTTGATGTTATATATGATAAGCATTTATATAAATTTTGGATGATATATGCGTGACTCCTCCTAACTTTTTTTGAAGTGAAAATACAGATTTATGTATGCTTTGAATTGATTATAAATAATGATATTTCATGCTTAGTGATTACAACTTCAAATTCAGCACATTCAAACTCAGAAGTTTTTAATTGGGAAGAAAAGGTGCCACATAAACCAGTTGTGCTTTTAATATAAAACAATTTATTGATGGAACTAAACTTTAGAACTGATTTTCTCTTAACTTTAGAATATAATCCTTAAAAAAAAAAAATTTCACTTAAATTTGAAAATTATTTTCCAAATGAGTTTTCTCTTTTTTTCTTTTTTTTTTTTTTTTTTTTGTTGGAGTCAACTCACATGTGCATATTTGACTCAGTATCACACTTGTAGAGCTGAAAAAAAAAATACTAGTAATTCACATTTAATGCTTGTCGGCTCATTATATAATTTATGTTTGATTCATTCGTTCAGCAAGCGAGTTGAACATGAATTACTTTTGTAACTCGTTTTATAAATGAGCCAACAATAAAAAAAATTGTTTCGTGGTGTTTAACCGACTTTGGCTCGAAATAATTGAATAATTAATAAAGAGTGATTTTATAACATCTTTATACCAATTTTTATGATATATTACGAAAATTTTGAACATTATTATTTTCTAAAATCATTCGAGCTATTTTTAAGACGAATAAGTGATTGAAATGAGTAAAAAGAAATTAATCCAACCCAGCATGAATATGCTATTCACGAAACACTTTAAGCACGAGCCTGTTTTATCCAAGAAAAAAAAAAAATCAAATGAGTCGAACTCTAACAAGCACCAGGCTCGCTCAAGTTTGACTGATTTACACAACGACACATAAGATCATTTTTCAAGAAATGCATTCTATTAATTGTTGGATATAAATAGATCTTGAACAATTGGTAAAAAATATTTAAATTTTTTTCAAACGGAAGCCTTTCATCCCATAGCTTTGAAAATATTTCTAAAATAACTTTGGGTTGAAATAAAATTTCTCAAAGATTGATAGCCACCATGGCATTTTGATATTCATGGAAGCTAATAATATTTTCATCATGACTCTTCACCTCATATGATAGAACGATCTAAATTGAAAAGCATAATTGTCTTGAACTAAAAATTATATGCGGGAGGACCCACCAACAGAAGACCGTGAGGCCACTTGTTTGACTGGGGGAAGTTATTCGAGCCAAAGCCAACAAGGACAAAGATGATCTAGCAATTAGGAAGACCAAAACAAGGCCAAACGTTTTGTGCTCAAATCATTTGGTCAAAAAAAAAAAAAGACAAAAAAACATCAAAGCCAAATATTATGGGAAAGCTGATACGAGAGAAACTCAAGTTTCTTAATATCTCCAAACATCTAGGGGACGCCAAGAGGTTGCTCACCATTAATCACGGATTGACAGCCATACCAGGTCAACACATTGACTCATGCCAACCAAACTCACCAAACAACGTTAATCTTGTCGACAATGCTTAGCCAACTGAGCTGATGGCACTGTTCCGAAGAAAATCCAGCTTAGCCGACCAATCTATATAGCAACCTGACAATAAGCTCATACATGAAATGTCCTAGCATGTACTCCATTAAAGTAAAGGCAAAATGTAACATCATTAAAGTGTACACTCGTGTATAAATAGTGAGAACATTTCATGAATAGGACATGTATATATCATTACTTTTCTCCCATCTCTATGTCTCTCTCTCTTTATTTATGCTTTATTCTATGTGTGTGATTCATTAGCAAATTAGGATTCAAAATCCGAAAAGGTACGGTGAGCATAGATCATGCCACGAATAACAAGAGGAAATGCCCAAGAAGAAGAAGCCTACAACAGAGACACAATCAACATAGAGTGCACTAGAGAGTTTGTCGCTTATCAAATCAAGGAGTTTAATGATCAAATGTTTAATGTCATCCGAAACTTGCTCTTCGTGGAAGATAGGACTAGTCCCAAGATGAACGGTCCATCCCCAATAGCAAGACTCCCATCATCCTTAGAAAAGAAGGCGACTACAACTATTTCGATAGTACCAATTTGACACCAATCAAACGACATTAGTTTAAGCCTTTTTACGTGCCCCGACATCCCAAGAATGTGTTTTCTTGGCAAATATTTGATTTCAAGTCCCCCTAATGGCATCACTCACATATCTCAAGATGATTCTTGTAGTGCAGTTTGATAATGCCCAAATTCCTTAACAAAACTCACAAAATAGACTCTCTTGCAGATCTACTATGGATAGAGTAAGAGACTTCACTCGTTCATCACAGACTTTAAAATACAGATGTTGGATATAAATGAACTTAGAGCTCTTGTCTCTCATGTCGCTCAAAAGTTAGTGTTGAAGGAAGGGCACTTCTAATACATGATGGGCCTGCTGTAATCAATAATGCTAGCAGACTTATTAGAGCTGGCCAAGAACCACATATCTGCTTAGGAGTATAACTCCAACTCCATTCCTTCCTGAGTAGAGTCTTCCACCCTTCGTCCGCAAAAGAGAGCCCCTCCCAATGTAAAGTGTGGAGACAAAGACATGATTTTTGTCCTTTTACCTGTCCTCACTATAAAGATGTTTTCTGTCTATATTTCAAAAGGAAAGTGCAAAATACATCATCAATGGCATCAAGCTTTGTGTCCTGACCATTGCCCTTCTATTTATGATTAGTGCCCTCTGATTGATCATGAAGTATCTAACTTAGTTCCTTTGAGTGTCTTAAAGGTCAAGACACTAAATAAAATACAAAATATAGGTTTTTTTAAGAAAGGGCCTTTGACGAAAACCAAAGCTTACCTCCTTGATCCTAAGAAGTACTCTGCCAACCATCAAAACTGTGATCACGACACCAAGAAATGCCAACCCTTTAGAGGCATAATTGAAGATCTGATCAACGCCAAAAAACTTGTGCAATTTGTACCACCAAGAGCAACAGCCCGACGATAGGGGAAAGCTGGCATGATGGAAATATCAGGCAAGCTAGTCCCACACAATACACATCGTTAGAATAATACCTTTCATTTTTGGAGAAGATGGACACTCATCCCAATGAACCAATATGAAGGAGCTTCGGTCGAGAGAACTATTCACAGTCATCTTAATGCCCAAATGTAGCTAACATTCTTCTAAAGCCTTCACCAATAAGGGTTTTTATATTAGGGTAATCTTTACAATGACATTATCGATGTCACTATTTTGAATGGCAATTATCAAATTTATAGCACTCTTTTTGACATTTCCAGCTATATAACCATTAGTTTAAGTCTATGTTCAATAAAATTGGCATCAATGACGATCTACTAAAAACAACTGTTGACCCATTTTATAGATTATCTCGAAAGAGAAAGAAAGCGCTAAGAACCATCACCACGAACTTATAATGATATCTTCTACTGTTTCTTGCTCAAATCTTTAAACTATCACCTTAACCTACATTATGGATGTGATGTTTGTATGTAATTTGAAGGTAATCACTCTTCATGTAGATATTGAGAAATCTTGCACTTCTTAACTTTGGGAGATTGAAAGCGTCAATCTGGAGCCTAATAGGTTCAATAATTTCTTAGAAGGGGATCTTCCGAACAACAAGACCACCCATCATCTACTTACACTCGAAGGAAACATTGCAAAAATTGTTACACTATGTGAAGCTTTTGATGCAAGACACAAAATGACACTGATGGATACCATCGGAAGCCACCAAGATGTTTTTATTTAGTATGCCACTAAGATGCCTGAGAAAGCAATCGACATAAGTTTCATCGCCTGAATGTTAACCTAGACGCTTGACTGAAGAAGCAAAAGATGAGAGCATTATTCATCATTCTGAACTAGTTAATCTGAGAGGAGATTTATGATCTACTAACGGTTAACTACATTCAAGAGGTTCACAATCTGACGTGAGTGTCTAACATTATCTTGACACAAAATTGAAACAACAAGTGAAGTTTGTTCATGGACTTCACCAACTTGAATACCGCTTAACGACCCATCCCGCAACTACAAAGAGTTTCTTAACTCTGAAAGATTGCAAAAAACTTGGCTGATATTATGTTTAGTGGCTAGTGTGAGTAAATGAAATGATTTAGATAATAGATAATAAGTCTTCACACTAGGGGTACTACGCAAGTATACATATCGTTTTAAGTATTATAGGATTTTCCTTAAAAACCCCATTATTGATCCCATGAGGATAGAAAAAATTCTTAATAATGATATGCAAAACCTCTATTTAAATTGCAGATAAATATGATATGAGAACAATATCAAAATGTTGGTAACAGTTTAACACTAAATTTAGGTAGAAAATAAGAACAAAGTTTAAAAGACTAGCATAGATTAGACTAGCATAGATTAAGACTAGCATAGATTAAATGACTAACAAATTTTCAATGACTAATAAAATTTAAAAGAGAGTTTGAATGTTATAAAAATATCTTTCCTCTTGCAAAGAGATGTTAATAATTGTAGTATTTAAATGATGAAAAAGATAAAATTTTGTATTGTGCCAAATACGGGCATGAGCATTCCTACTTTTTACCTCCTCTCGATGCTAGCAAAGAACATTGGCTAACCTAGAGTTTTTCATCAGCTTG